AGAGAGAGAGAGAGAGAGAGAGAGAGAGAGAGAGAGAGAGAGAGAGAGAGAGAGAGAGAGAGAGAGAAGGAGAGAGAGAGGTCTGATGCGAGAAGCATTGGTGAGAGCAGCAGGGTTAAAGATTGATGAGAATGTTTTTCTTGTTTTTCTTTTTATAACTTGGAGAGTTTTCTAGAGAGGGTGGATTCCCAAACTAGCTTCCAGAAGCGTGACACAGCCAGAATCTTGAGCAGATATGTATGTGTCAGAAACGTAACCTGCAAATGGGCGAGAAAAACATCCCGGTTCATCCTAACAGAGCATTTTACAAATGGCAAACTGTTGTGCAGGGTAATCCTTGTTTGTAATCCATCTGATCCATATGCGGATAGGGTATCAACTACAAAAAATATCTGTTCATCCAGCATGTCAAGGAGCTCGACCAGATGGAGATCTAGAAAGGTTCTGAAATGTCATTCAATTGGCAGGGGGGCATGCTGGGGGTCGTTAGGCACTTGCAACTCACCTCCATCTCTCTTCCTGGCAATATAACTGCAGTCTTCTTCTTCTGTGGGCGTCCTCTAGCGGGACGAGCAAACTCCTCTGACGACTCTTCTCCCTCTTTTTCTGCCACCTCCACTATTTTGGCTATGGGAGAAGCCATCTCCAAGGATAAAGCATCTTGAACTGACTCATCAAGAGTCCCTGCCTCCTCATTGCAGTGATGATCTGCTGGCGAAGTGTCCATTCTTGGTCTCATGTTTTGATGTTTAATAGGACGTTGACTTTTGCTCGGTCCTTTGATAACAGAAGTGCTGGAAATGACGGACTCTGGGATGGAGACAGAAACAGAATTAGTGCATCTATTCCTGACGATAGGGATTTTTTTAGCACCGGCCTCCAGGATCACTAGATGTAGCCAACAGCTTCCGCTTTGCAATATGAGGCAGTGTGCCATTTCGATCTCCAAGTGAAGCTGTGATTCTGGAGCTTGGCAGCAGTCCACCACTATAAGCCTTCTCCATTTTTCTAGCTGGAGTCGCACGTTCCACTTCCCTGTGGCGAGAAATGATTTCCACCTTGGCTGCTTGCGGCCCATTGCTGCACCTCAAACCTGTGGCTGCAAGCCCATTCAAGTCCAGAATCCTCTCTCTCTCTCTCTCTCTCTCTCTCTCTCTCTCTCTCTCTCTCTCTCTCTCTCTCTCTCTCTCTCTCTCCCCCTCCCTACTTTCCCCAAGTTACCATCATTCTTTCCCTTGATCCCTTGCAATTCAGATTTCTGTTAGCTCTCACATTCGTCCAACATTATATATTGGAATCGTGCCAAAAAAAAACGAACTGGCACAGGCAGGTAAGAAGTTAATCTCGCCTGGCGCCGCCAGCAAAACAGCTCCAGTGAATTGAGTCCACCAAGCATCACACACTTTCACATGATTCTCACACAAATCCGAACACACACAAAGAACACGAGACGGATGAAAAAATAGTCTTTGCAAATCAATGCAAGGAAACAGAATTATAATTTCAAGCTTGAGTTTATGGCCGCCCGAATACAACACACAGTAAGTTTCTTCTTTCTCTGTCCCCTCTGTTCCTACTCTATGATCACACTGTTCTCACTCTATCCCTCCCTGAATACCTCCCGGTCGCTTCTCTCTCTCTCTCTCTCTCTCTCTCTCTCTCTCTCTCTCTCTCTCTCTCTCTCTCTCTCTCTCTCCTGTCTCTTATACACATCTAAGATGTGTACCTCTCCGCTTTCCAGGGCTGTTCAGGGATGTTANCTCTCTCTCTCTCTCTCTCTCTCTCTCTCTCTCTCTCTCTCTCTCTCTCTCTCTCTCTCTCTCTCTCTCTCTCTCTCTCTCTCGCCCTATTTTCCCACAAGTTACCATCTTTCTTTCCCTTCGGCCCTTGCAATTCAGATTTCTCTTAACTTTCAGATTCATCCGATGTCGTATATTGGAATCGTGCCAGAAAAAACGAGCTGGCACAGTCGCAAAAGAAATTATTTTCGCCTGACACCGCCATCGAAACAGCTCCGGTGAATTGAGATGACCAAGCATCATACACTTTTACATCTTTCTCACACAAGTCCCAACACACACAAAGAACACGAGATCTGGATGCAAAAATACTCTTTGCAAATCAATGCAAGGAAGCAGAGTTGTCTTTTTCAAGCTTGCGCTTATGGCCGCGCGAATACAACACACGGTAAGTTTCTTCTCTCTGTGTCCCCTGTTCCTACTCTATGCTCACACAGTGCCATTCTATCCGCGTCCCTGAATGCCTTCCTCTCTCTCTCTCTCTATATATATATATACATATATATCACTCAAGCGAAGTTATGGTGCAGGGCACCGTCGACTACTGCAACAGTACACTGCTCATCAGCTGCTGTAACGCACAAGACCGCAACAGCACTTCTGCATTCACCACGCAAGCAAATTGTTTTGATGTTTGGTCGCTTGCAGACTTTTGTAACCGGCTGCACCATCCAGTTGTACACTCTGGCGTTGGGTCCCATTACCTTCGGCCACAGTCAGCCTCTGACAATCAGAATGTTCCGAACTTCCACAGACTGGGCTGCAACTGACAGATGGACAGACAGACTCCTAGACTGCCTAAGAGTACGGACTCCACAGACCTCAAAAGTAACGCCAACTTTTGGTACGGCCTAAATCTAGACTATAGTCTAAGTTGTACGGCCTACTGGATGGGATATGATACAGTGGGAAAAATGGGACTCTGAGGTATGTGAATCCTTTCACACCAGTCCCGTACTGCAGACCTTGCAGCAAAACCACATGAACATCCCCTCGCGCTGTGGAGAGGTTTCCCTTCGGTGTTGAGCATGAAACCAAGGAATATTGTTCAAGTTGGATGCTGAGAGTTATGGGTTCCCAGCTCCCCTACCCCCACAGGGCCCCCCTCAGGTTGAGCCAACCCTCAGGGTTGAACCTCTTAGGGCTAAGTGGGAGGGAGGGCATCCCCACCAAGACCAACTAGGGGGGGCGAGCGGACTATCTCAGCCGGTGAACCAGAAGTGTGCCGCAGGAGGCAGCGGGGAGTCGAATGCCATGAATGGATGTGCCTGAGATTGATTCTTTTTCTATTCTTAAGCTTATTTTTTTATTATTGATTCAATAAGGATTTCTGATCTTTTTTTTTTTTTTTTGAATTCTGCACTAGGGCCTGCCCGAGGGTCCTGCCCAGCAGGGTGGTCGGGCGTGTGTGCAGACGCGACATTCTTGTCCGGGCGCATGGAAAATTAACCCAGCCGAGATTATGATATTTCGAAAGAGTTCAAAAGGACTGAAAAGACAAAACTGTTATGTAACATTGAATTACCAACAAATTCCAGGTGAGGGCATTTGAAATTGTGTAATGAACTTGAGGAAACGTAAGAGCAAAATACATTTTGTGCAGCGGCACCTGTCTGGTCCAGATTGAACCCAGATGTCTGGATGGCATTCAGAACCAGGCATAGGTCTATGATGGACCCAGATGTCTGGATGGCAATCAGAACCAGGCACAAGTCTATGATGGTTCATAACTAATTGTTTATGGTGCATTTGGTGAGCTTGTTCAGGCTTTAGGGTTCATGGTCCATGATTGGATTTGGGCGGGATTTAGGGTTTGATTCATCCATTTCTAGGAGTCCAGGTGTGAGAATGTGAAGCTGCAGTGTGATGAGAATATGCATTTGGGATCCCACAGTGGCTGACGTGATTTGTTCTGGGCTCATCATTATGCAACCCATTAGCAAGTCACTCATGGGCTAACAGGGATTTGCTGACCACAATTCAATTTGACCCTAGACCATACAACATAAGAAAGAAACAGTTCGAGGGCTAGATTTGCTTAGGGTTTAGGGTTCGAGTTTTACAGTTGAGGGTTCAGCAGAGTTCCTGATTTGGCAGGAACTGATGACACGCTGGCAGAAAGTGAAAACTCGGCTGGATCTTTTTCAGACAAAAGAAGGAATACCGTACGCTGTCAATGAATTATCAGGGGATTGGCTGGGGAATGAGCCGGGGTGCATTTGATGGTAAGGAGGACGCCTCCTGGGGCACGGTCAGGAGGAGTTCAGGAGAGACTACACCATTGTTTCAAGGACTGGACCAAGGTGGACCCAGCGGTTCCACTGCGCGCCCCCCTCGGAGTTCCCAGATCCCTTTCCACCCCACAGTCTCTCCAAGGTATGGACCGGATTAAGCAAGGCCACAGCTTGGCAAATGTAGAACATCAGGCGGCCAGCAGGCTGAAGAGGCGGTGGGGTCCCTGCTAATTTTGTTCTGTACTTTCAGCCAAAGCCGGGTAATGGCCCCAGTAATGGTCTTATAACAGAACTGCCCGGCAAACCGTCGGCAGAAAGGGGTATATATGTTAGATGGATGGGACGCTAGACCTGGTTTACAGCAGGTGCTTCTCCCCACCAATAGACCGGAGCCACCCGTGGCAGGCGATGTTAGAGGGGGATGCTATCACCCCCCCCAAATAACCGGCACAGGGGGTTTTGTCAAAAAAAAAAAAAAGCAAGTTCCTGGTTCATTCTTGAGGGTGGGCGGACGGTTGAGGGCTGAAGTCAGTTTTGGACCAAGTTTATCGAGATTCTACACTCATTATGTGCGGTGGTGAGCAGTGGGCTCACTTGTTTTCATTGGCATAATTGGGCCCACAAGTTCACTGGCACAACTGGGCCCGCAAGTTCATTGGCACAATTGGGCGCACAAGTCCATTGGCACAATCAGGCTCAGTTCTTCATTGGCACAGTTGGACCTACTTGCTGGATGGGAGTGCCATGCACAGTGACATACCACACAAATGTGCTGCAAGAATCGATTGTACCTTGGCTGAGTGCCGCGATTCGAAGAGACCTTCGCAGTCCCACCACTGCTATTGTACTTCTCACAGCCATCTTACTTTTGGGAAATTTGCCAGTAACCGCCACAATAACTAAACCACACAGCAAAGCAGCAAGAGCAGTGGCAACAGCAAATAGCAAATAACATCAGCAATCCCATGAATGAAAAACATGATGAACATTTTAAACATAAAAGTTGATAAGACCTTCAACGTTTTATCTTGTGAATGATATTAAGGAGGCATTCCTTCCTATCGTTTTGCCCACCAGGACTGGGACATGTGCCATGATTATTGTCAGGCAAATCAGAAACAACAACCACAACATCAGAAACATGACGGATTGATAAAAAATGTAAAATACAGGAATCTATGGAAATTCCGACTTCCTACTGTGAATTAAGGGGGCAGTCGACTGTATTCCTGTTGCACTTCGATTTTATTATTATTATAATTTGTTAATTTATTATTATTATGAATTTATGAGTATGATTATTTATTATTTTTATTATTTTTATTATTTTTATTATTTTTATTATTTTTATTATTTTTTAACCGGGAGTTCGCTATTAGGGGGGGTGGTAAGAGCAGCCTCCCCTAGCAGATTAGCCGGGTGCTCCAATCTAGTGGTGGGGAGCCGCACCTGCTGGAAACCGGGTCTAGTGGTGGGGAGCCGCACCTGCTGGAAAACCGGGTCCAGCATCCCAAATACATACTTCTGAGAACATCTAGAACGCTGACATCTGTGAAACAAAAATTGGCCATGGCTGCCAGCATTGTCTACCCCAGAGTACCGGGGGGTTAACTGAGTGTCCTGACTGTAGTAAGGTCTAGGTGCTTGGAATTGAGTCACCATCCATTCATCAATGTCCATAAATGATTACAATCTGCAGGCAATGACAGACATTCAAGAAAACCAGAAATGTACTCACAATTTCAAATTAATGTCCCACACTCGTAGTGCACATCCTGTATGGATGTACCAGTGCCTACCAGGTCCCACACCGAATTCAAAAAGAAAAAGAAAGGATGGATCACATGGTCAATCAGACAGCTCAGCCATAACAAGAGAATGCAGAAAGTGAAGACAAACAGCTCTACCATTGGGATATTGATTTGTCATAATTTTAACCATTGGGGGGGG